GCTCCGGTGTGTCACAAACAAGAAAAAGGACTACTAACTGCATTGCTAAGATCACCGTAACTCTTCTCAGACCTGTAAATTACATTCAATTCTACTTCCATGAACGCATTTGCTTTCGGGTCTCAAAGGCAGACACGTCAGACAGAGCTTCCAACGTCCCCGATCTTGTGCCAAAGTCTGAGCTTTGGTAGAAAACAACTGGAGTCTGGAACAGACTCCTTTCATATATGTGCGCAAGGTTAATCTTGGCCGACCCCTGGGTCTTCTGCCGGTCGGTTTGGCAAAAAACAGCTGTTTCGCTTCCGTTTTGGAGGCATTCGCAACAAGTGTGCAAACTACCGCAGCTGTGACTTCTCAGTTTGGAGAACCAGAGGCTGTACACCAAGGATCTCGGTTATTTTTGCCCTTTTCACATCGGACGCAGAGAACAGTCTGACACAATACCGTTTTGCCTTGTGAAAATTCGACTCCAAAACCTCACCGAACCTCTTCCAGGAATCAGCTTTGGCTGCCGGCTTGCATGCGAGTAGAAGACCTGTGTTTGCAAGCCATTTCTTGAACGCTGCTTCCTCTGTATCTGCCAGTTGTACCTCTCGTGTCCACCAAGAATATCCTTCTTGGCCTTCAGTCCGTAAGCCGACCCGTTTCAATCAGCAGCATTCGGCGGCAGCCTCGAGTATGCCGCTCTTAAAGAGCTGAAACTCGGTTTCAACATCAGTTGTCATCACCGGGACCTATTCAAACCGTAGTGCGATGTTGTTTGCAAAATTTCGCTCTCGTGTCCACCGAAGACAATGTCTCCCATTTGATTCTCAGGTTGCTTCTGCCACCAGATGTTCGTATGGTACTCCATTTCTTACAGCGGAACGTGCCAACAGCAAGTTGATGATCGGTTGATAGCTCTGCGCCTCTTTTAACACGAACATCCGTCACTGAGAGTCTTAAATCAGACGATACGATTATCTGATCGATCATTGACTTCTGTGCACTGAGATTCATACATGAGTTACACTGACATATTCTTTGATGTTATAAGAAAATGTTCATAATCGAGAGTCCGTTGTTTGCACAAAACTGCAGCAATTTCATGCCGTTATTGTTTAAGTCTCTAGAGCCATTCTTTCCAATTTCCCACTTCTCCATGTCTGCTCAAACATGCACACTGAAATCACCGATTAGAATGAGGGACCAGATAGTCGCCAGTTCGCAGAGCGCACCTTTCACTTCCTAAAGAAAGGCCTTCTGACCAGGAAACTGTCAACCGCTGCAGACGTCGAACTACATCAGCGAAGCTTTGCTAACCATCTACCTTGAAGAAGGGCTGTTAAACATGTTCCGAAGCTTCGGTATTGCTCATTCACCGGTATTGGTCACACTATCTTTTCCGTGGTGCAGTCCTAAAGTGTGCAAGGTGCTCATTTTGCATCACAGAGAAACAGAGAATTCTCTCCTTCCTTCCTTGCTTCCTTCCTTCCTTCCTTCCTTCCTTCCTTCCTTCTTTCCTTCCTTCCTTCCTTCCTTCCTTCCTTCC